TCAAAAATGATGACCTTACAATAGAATTTGCCGCACAAACATGTGACGGTCTCATTGCTCAAAATTATATGGGTTCTTTTTCAAAATACTTGTCATACATAAGGTGCTTTTAAGAATAGCTTTCAAGAAAAATTGATTTTAGATAAAATTACCCTTAATGAAATCGATCTATATGTTTAGGTCCGCGCTTCAAACTGACTTATATCTTTTGAGTTTTTCTCGCCAAACCATTCATCTTTGGAGTATTCCTTACTAGAAAGAAAAACCTTTAAGTATTTTGAACATTTTGGAATGGTTTTTGATACATGAAGAAAAACTTTTGAGCATTTTGAGCATTTTTAAGCATTTGGGAGTAGTTTTTGATAAATAAAGAAAAACCTTTGAGCATTTTGAGCATTATTGGTTAAGTAGGCATATTTATTAATTATATTGTTAAATGGAATATGGTGTATTGTTTGAAGTTATTGATTTTGTTAATAGAATTCAGTAGTTTTAGTGATTTTTAGACATTGTGTGACTAACTTTTAGGCATTACGTGATTGATTTTTAAGTATTGCGTAACTGTTTGATATGACATTACATGACTAGTTGATAAGCATTACGTGACTGGTTAGTAAGGCATTACGTGACTAGTTAACAAGGCATTATGTGACTAGTTAGTAAGGCATTGTGTGACTTAGGCATTGTCTAAAAATCAGTCACGAAATGTCTAAAAACCAGAGACGTAATGATGAAGTCATGTAATTCCTAAAAACCGATCTCGCAATACCTAAAAACCAATGCCGTAATAGTTAAAAACTAGTGACACAATGCCTAAAAACTAGTAATGCAATGCCTAATAACTAATTGATTTACATGCTCGCAATTAGATTTAAGTTGCCAAAGTCATACAGTGTTCTAATTTACAGATATATCTAATCAGTTTCAATCCCTCAACTTTAATGTTTTATGAATAAATCAATAAACCCAAGAACCTAAAACACATATTCTTTTTTTTGTGAGCCATGAAATTGTACATTTCATAAAAGAGAATTTACAAAATTCTATAACCCTCTAAAGCAAGACAAAATATATCCTTATCGGGAAGGCCTTGTTCACTCTCCTTGTGAAAAAAAAAATATACTTTTTTTACAAAATATTTACTGAACAATTCAAACTCAAAATCCCATAAAAAGAAACAAAATCCTCAGCAAACATGCTTAACAATCATCCTAATCCTAGACACAATAAAATCATGAATCACCATAAAACCCATCAAACATTCTTTAACTATTCTTTCTCCTTGAGCCCATCATCTTAACCAATCTGATCAAACTCATCAACACAAGCATCTTCATCGCAACACACATTTCGAAGCAAGTCATCACAAGAAAAACATCCAGCTATCACATTCATCATATTGACTATAATTACCATAAAAGAACAAAATCGCTGTTAATCACCATTGAGAACCCCAATATCCACCATCCAAAAAAATAAAATGAAAAAAAAAGGAGCTAGATGCCATCTTTGCTTTTTGGGATGATGAGAAAGAGTTAGATGGCAAGATAGACAGTATTTGGTAAGAGAAAAATCATGATTTAATTTTAAAATTTTTGTTTAGATAGTGGGATAGAGAAAATCGAAACCATTTTAAGTTGTTTGAAATTGTTTAAAGGGCATTGTTGTCAAGTCATGTAAAAAATTTTCTAAAAATAGTTAAAATTATAATGAAAGCTATTTTTGAATTGAGTTTATAAAAAGGGTTATCTCTCATAATTTTCTTAAATTATATTATACTAAATAATTGTCGATAAATGAATCTTTTTTGTCATTGACGATTTTTTGTTTAGCCCCCCTTATCTATATATATAACATAACAAGAGAGGCTAAGTTCTGAAAAAAAGAGAGATTAGAGAAGATCTCGGCAGAGAATAGTGGATGAGAGCTTTGTGTAGATACAAAGATCTCTACAAAGGTTGGAAGATGTAACAACAGGAGCCAAGGTTACGAGTTGGAGTCTTGAACCCTTCAAGGCCTTCGGGTAATCTGAGCAAGGAGGGGGTTCATACATTGTAGTTTTACCATCCCCAATCATGCATTCATAAAATCTTGTTTACTCTCTTATTGTTTTTTAAAATTTAAATTTAATTTTGTTTCAACTTTTAAGCCTCAAATACTTGTAATTATTTACCTTCTTAATGTTAACCTCATTTGATTTTTATTTTCATTGCCATCCTTAGATTAGACAGGAATTTGAATTTATGTTGACCAGAACGTAAATGTAAACTATATAAATTTTATCATTGGACATGTGATAAAAAATAAAACCCTTGTTCTATTTTGGATTACATGAATGAATAGTATTTTGTTAATTTTTTGTCTTTGATTTGCTATTATAGGATGTGATATTGGGAATTGGCAAGTTGGAGCCATAGCAACTTTAATTGACAACGTTGGAGGTGCCACCATGTACTCCACTATTGACCGTTTAAAAGTCAGTTTTGATTTTAACATTTCATATTACTCGACGTCTAGGATCATGTTTTTTTAAGTATTTTATTATTTAGTACTAATGTGTCACGTATTGAAATTTAAGTCTAATCTTGTGCAATCACGTGAAATTTAAATCCAATCTCATGTGGTTTTAAATTTTGAAAATAAAACTTAAACAAATCTTAATTAATATTAATAAAAGCAAAAGTTAAAAAAATATAAAGTTACTTAGAGAAATGGAATACTTTGTTATTTTTATGATGTGTGTTAAAAATGAGGAGAAGAGGTCTATTTATAGATTAATAGCTCCTGTTAGATAAAAGTAGGTTATAAGATAAGGGTAAGATAGGATAAGATAAAAAGATAACAATAAGAGATTTAATTTGAAAAGATGATATTCAAATTAAATCCAAATCTTAATCTGACATAGTAAATTTACATCTAAACTCATATATATGTTAGCAAATCCAAGAGTTCAAGTCAAATTAGATACTCTTAGGGGTGTGTGGACATTCTACTCTTATGACACAGGCTGTGCCTTTTGATTGATTTGTTGGCTTGTCTAGCTTGTTGGTTTGTTTGAGTCATCTGGCCTACTTGTTGAGCCTAAGCTGGTATGAATTCTTGGGTTGTGACATTCTCCTTCACTCAATTTGACAACGTCTTCATTATCTCATGGCTTTGTGAAAAAGCTCCACCTTATCTTGGAACTGTTATAAGTCCTTCGCTAACTCCCAACGTGTCTCATTCTCTAGCAGTCCTTTCCATTTCACTAAATATTGGTGCCTCAGTCTATAATTCTTTTGCCTTAGCACTTTATGGGCCAACACTTGCTCCCACTTCTACTAGGATCGTGTTCATATGCATGGCAGGGCTTCAACAATTTGACGTGGAAAACTAGATGTATCTTGGTGGAGCTTTTTCACGAGGCAACGAGGACGTTGTTGAATTAAGTGGGAGAGAATGTTGAAGCTCAAGAGTTCAAGCTAGCCTAGGCCCAACAAGTAGGCCAAATAATCCAAACAAATCAGCAAGCCAAACAAGCCAACAAATCAATCAGAAGGCCCAGCTCACGTCATAAGGGTGGAAATGCCCACACACCCCTAAGAGTGTCTAATTTGACTTGAATTCTTAGATTTGCTAATATATATCTAAATTTAAGTGTCAATTTACTAGATTAAATTAGGATTTAGATATAATTTTAATATTATCTCTTCAAATTAAAATTTTTTTTTAAAAAAGTGAATTTATTTCCCTCATAATCGATATGCCATTGCAAGTCTCAAACATCCTGGTAAGAGACTTCTTGTGACATTAATGAAAATAGTTAAAGCATAAAAAAGTAGTACAATGATTAGAAGACATGGGTAGATTACCTAAGATCATAACACTTTGCACCACACATTGACAAAAATTACACATACTTTCCTAGTATCTTAACCGTTTAACAACTTGCACACAAAAACAGCACAAAACCCATTAACAAAATACTTGGGCAGGTCATACTGGCTTCACCCAATCATGACTGTGTAGCCCACATACATAGCCCACAATGATCACTAGAAAAGTGAACTACCTCACAAGCCTTAACCAACAAAGATCAATTGTTGAAGCCTATCCAAAAATAGCCTAACATCAATTGTTGAAGCCATGACCTTCTTCAGCATATGCTCTTTGCTGTAGTTTGACTTCTCCATTAACACAAACTCCGTCACATCACAACATCCTTGTTTGCTTCCAACTTAAAAAAGCACCCTATTAAATCCTTTATTATTATCTCTTTATCTTATCTTATTTTATCCTTATCTTGTAATCTAATCTCATCTAACAAAACAGGCCATCAGTTTGTTCTAACACAGATCAAAGAAATAACAAAGCATTCCATTTCTCAAAATAGTTTTCTCTATTATTCCTTTCTTTAGCTTTTGTTTCTGTTAGTTTTAAGGCTTATTTAAACTTTATTTTCAAAGTTTAAGGTCACACGAGGTTGTGCTTAAATTCCAACAGGTAATAGTTGGTATCAAAGTAGACTTGGATCTTAACTGATGTGGGCTCTCATGAGAGATATAAGGGTCGAGGTAGACCTGAACTAATGTAAGAGTCCCTTTCCTCTATGAGTAAAGAGTCGGTTGAATAAGGGCGTTGTACAACTGAGTGAGGTAGAATGTCACGAATAAGATACGAGGTAGATCTTGAGAATATAAATATGAGCCTTCCACTAGACATGTTTTTTACGTTGGAAACATGAACCTGTGACATTAAAGTCAAATTACATTTTAGATTTTATGATTATAATAGAAAATTTAAAACCTTGGTAAAGTTAACCTAGATTTGAGGATATCCGGGTACACATAACTATCTTGTATCCATCCCTTGTTCGAAACATTTTCTCACCAAGAACACTTATCCAAAAACTATCTTTTCTCTTAGCACATTTCACTGTCCATGTCGTGCATAGGTTATTTGTCAAAAGTCAAATAATGCTGTTAGGATATTGATCTTGTTATCCAATCGACACTTTTTAATACACCTTATGATGTCTGAATCTAGCTATTAGATTCCAAGTAGTTAAAGGTTTTCAGGAATAGAGTCCTAATTCGAGTCTAATATCTTTTTCCTATCCCATATCTAATTTGAATTACATTGAGTTCACAATTGCCCAAACTCCCGATGCACTATTTGAATTAGATAGAGTTCAAGTCTGTCTAAACTTCTGCAGCTCCATTAATTCCCACGTTTGTGCATGCAATCCCCCAACGTAATTAAAGGTTTACCATGAGTAGCTCTGCTTCTCGATGGGACAACAACACACTAGCACAAGGTTGAGCACACGAGATAGGAGACTTAGAGCCTGTTTGACCTAGCATTTTTTTTAGCTTAAAAACTATTAAAAAGCTTTTATAAAAAATAATACCTTTTAAAATTAAGCTAAAACTATTTGATAAGCTGTTTGGCAAAATAAATTATATAAGTTTTAATTTTAGTTAAAATTATCATAACGAATATTCATGTTATCTTCAATTATCTAATAAACCAAACCGGAATGAGTCTGCTTCAAGTTTATATACGCTTTCAGATATTAAAAGTTAAAGAAATCCATAAAGAAATGGAATAATTTTTGAACTTGTATAGTAATAATAATATTCGATTTTTGGTGAAGAAGAGAGAAAACTTTTAAATAGTACTTGAATGAAGATTTAAATTTTGAGTTTTTTTTTTAATATTTGTAAGAACAAAAAAGCTTAGATTTTGCTATTCAGTTTTTGAGTTTTTTAATTTTTTTTAATAGTTTTTGTAAAGAGAGATAAAGGAAAGGGACATTGTAATGTTGCGTTGGAGAAATGTAACTTGCAAAGAGAGGGAGAGGAAAAGAAGATTGATTGAGAGAAGGATATTTTTTGAAAAATTAATATATTTTTTTTTAAAAAGAAAAAGCTCTTCTCTAGAGTTTTTTTTTAAGTTTTTTTTTAATTTTGTTTTTTAAAAAATATTTCTTTAAAAAAGTTTTTTCAAAAATTTTTTTGTTTGAATTTTATTTTAAGAGATAGATAAAAAAACCAAACTAAAGAAGTACTTAATCTTCCAGATTTTGCCTACCTACCATTTTCCTTAAGGCAATCACCACACTCCGTCCTGGTTTTCCTCATTCAAAAAGGAATCATTCGTTAGCTACAGAGACCAAAAAGTTGCTTCACAAATAACCAGCTACCTCGATGATGAACCACCCCTACACCCACTATCCACCCACAGATGAATAAAGGCTTCAACCGAAGGTGGAATTCAACTCATACAACATTCCACCAGCTAACGATAGAGCAGCACAGCTGTGTGGACAAGATATAAAGATATGGTCACAAATTTCTTCCTCATCTCTGGACCAACAACACATTATTCATTTTTTAACTTTTAATCATATTTTTTTTTCTTGTTTTTGTAATGATAGTTCAATTTCAAAATGTTCAAGAAATTTTTTTTCCAATTTACTTATATTTTTGCCTATGAGTCACCTAAGCTTAATAACATTTAATATATAGGATTTTCACAAATGGGTTTGAATCTGTGGTAATAATATTTTCCCGTTGGTTTAAACTTTTTTTGCTAAATGAAAACCGTCAGTTGCAATTGAATTGTTATTTTCTCTCCAGCCAATTACAACAAAATAGGAAAAAGAAGGTTGAGACGACAAGGAAAATGATTTGATTGAATATGATCCCAAAAATCTGAACTTTCCTCCAATGACCAATGACCTCATGTCGACTAATGTCTCAAGATAAAATGCCATTGGAATTTGTTTGTATATATAGGGACACCTCAATTTCCAAATTATAAGAGTTAATAAATTATTTAATCACTTAATTTTTAAAAAAATTTTAATTTGATCGTTTAATTTCTTTTTAAATAAATTATATTTTGATTAAGTGGATAATGCGTGATAAATGAACTAATATGAACATACCATGTCGTGCAATTAACGTAGTGAAAAAATCAAGTTAAATAATTTTTAATTATTAAGGGACTAAAATAATATCTTTTTAATAAATTTTGGTGGTTAAAATATAATTATTTAAAATTAAATGACTTAAAAACAAAAACTCTATGAGACCATGCCGCTACCAATACGACAAAAGCAAAAATAAAGTCGCCCGGTTGCAAAAGGGCCAAAGAGAAACGGAGCAAGAAACTGACAGAGGTCGGAAGATATGGAAGAAGATAACAGCCTGGAGAAATCCCTGGCATGGCTACAAGATCTTGTCCAAGGGGCCATAGGTCAGGAGTTGGAGACCCGAGCCCTTGACGGACTACGCATCACCCATGCTCAGAAGGGATCTATACGATGTAGTTTCGTCGTATCAAATCATGCATCAGTATAAAAATCTGGATCAACTATTTGCCTTTTTCTTTGTTTATTAAATTATGAGACTGTAACTTTTTTTCTTTAATGTTTACTCTTTTATCTATCCATAGGGTGTTGATGGGAATTGGCATGTTGGAGCTATAGCAACGTTGATGGATGTGGTCGGAGCTGTTGCTGTATACTCTGTTGCCCATTGTATCATAGCCTCCGTTGATTTCAGCATTTCATATTATTCAACAGCTAAGATTCATGTCAGTGTTTTCTTGTTTAAATCTTGTTACCGTAAGTTCTTTTCTACTTTTATCAATTGAAGCTGTTGATTGGTTTGACGGTAGGAGCAAGTGGAGGTAGATGCCAAGGTTATGGCAAACAAGGGACGGCTTACACAAGTGATGGTGGAGGTTAGAAGGAAAGGAAATGGAGAGCTACTTGCTGTGGGAAAACAGTGGATGGCTTCGAAAAACGTCACGGTATCTCGAGTGAGTAAGCTTTGAGGACTAAAGATTAATTAAGATGCTTTTACTTGTCATCTCTTAACATCTAATTAACATTCGAAGATGTATTGATTTTCTTTTTCCCAGCTAAAGAGATTGAATGAGTTTGGTTAATTTGTTTTTTATTTGGTTAAATTGAAGAATGATGAAAGGGTTCATGCATTAAATCCCACACTGTTAATCAATCGACCTGTATTTTTGAACAAGTGTGAATTCACTGATTTAACCAGTAATTTTTTCCTCTACAAAAAAATTGAAAGAATGGAATATATTCATTGAAGGGGAGAATTCATGCAATCAGATAAACGGTTGTGGAGGTGGGCATTCGATCTGACAGTCACGGTTTAATAGCCAGCCAAAACATATATAAATCAGGCTGGCACGATCCAAGATTGAGATAAGTCCTTTCTCTCCTCCAAGCTTTTAAATTCCTTTCATCTGTCAAATCTGAGATCTCTCTGGTTTGTTACTCCTCCTCTGATTCATATCCGTCATCAATAACTTCCACCGTAGATCCATAAGACCTGCTACAGATAATGTAATACAACAGATTGACAAGACTCAACCCTGCAAGAAGCCAATAATAATTGTCGAAGCGAGCCTCATTGAGATTGTCTGCAACCCAACTCGGTTTTCCACCTCTTGAAGTAGTCTTGTTGACAATGTTAAACAGAACACCACTCAGTATGTGTGCAAATGCCAGTGACAGAAAGAACAGGGAATTACCAATACTTGACATGGTCTTGGGGAACTCGCGATGATAAAACTCGAAAAACCCAAGTGTACTAAAAGACTCAGCTACTCCCATCACGATATGCTGTGGGAGTAGCCATATTACTGACATATTTACCACTGCAATAGGATTTTTCAAGAGCCCCTCCTGGATTGCTTTTCTTCGTCTCGCACTCTCAACAATTGCTGTAAGTCCCAAGGCTACGACAGACAGGAACAACCCAATTCCCATCCTCAATTGAACACTGATGTATACTTGTTTTCCCTTGATCTTTGACGCCAGTGGAATTATGACACGCTCATATAGAACAACCCAAACCACTACAGTGCAATAAACAAAAACGGTTACAGAGGCTGCCGGTATTTCGAAGCCTCCCAAAACGTGTCTGTTTACGGAGCTAGCTTGGAGTACCGGAAAAGAGTGTTGGCTTCCAGCAATTGCCATTACGATCCCCGTAGACCATATTGGTATTACCTTCAAAAGTGCCTTAAGTTCTTCGACTTTCCAAACAGTGCAGACTCTCCAGGGGTCCAAGGCCAATCCATCAGAGCCTATCTCCTGTTCAGCATTTCTAATTATGCACGCTTTGTTCAAAAACTTCAATTTCTCACTTGGCACGGTAATCTCTGAATCCTTTCCGTGATGGTAACCTGATTCTTTAGATGGGAATGGGAGGTTTCTATTCTTATAAGCAACCACAAGAACCTGTGCAAAACCCGTGAATAGGCTTGTGCTTGCTTTGCGCTTAACATAGAGCGGAGAAGCAATGTAAAACGCCACAGTCGCCAGGAACATTAGAATTGCGCAAAGTCCATATCCCACCTTCCACCCATACATTTGTAGAACGTATATGACACTCGTCAAGCCAAGGGAACCACCGAGGGATGCTGCAGCATAATACCAGCCGAAGTAGCTCTCCAGGATCTTTTCATTTTTGTTGCTCAACTGATCCGCACCAAAAGGCATGGAACATGGCCTAATACCGCCAGCTCCAATTGATTTGAAAAACAAGGCAGCAACCAGGATAGCCACCTGGCCTGCTGTTGCAGATTTGCAGCTTTGAGCTAAGTGGTCACAAGGAGGAGGCGTTGCCTGTGGTATAACAGTTGTTACCCATAGAATTGCCACACCCTGTAACATTGAAAGTTAGGTGTAAAAATCCGAATTAAAGATTCTATTAACAAGACAAAATAATCATAACATGATCACATCTATACCTATTACCATTAAGAATCAAAACTAGAAATGCTGCTACAGAAGAAGAAGAGCTTACCAGGAAACTGGAAATTGAGCCCAAGCCGATGGTAACGAATCGGCCCATAAACGAATCAGCGAAGAAAGCACCCAAAATAGGTGCGAAATTGCTAAAAGCTTGCCAATAGTTGATAAGATTGTGCACTGCGGCGATGGTCAAGTGATAGTTACTCTTCAAGTACAACGTCATGCTTGGCAACAGCGCGTAGCTTGGCACCTTCTCAAGCGCCTCATTTGCTGTAGTGAAACAATCAAATTCAGCGTTCAAAACAATTATAAACATAAAAGACCATTAATATTAGGCTGGAGCATGTAAAAGTATCCAAAATCATAATGCAAAAAGCATTCAAGAATATGTATATGCATTTGCTGCATTTACCTATGATGAATGGCAAGGTAATGAAGCCGCCTTTTCGCCTTTTAGAAGAATCTTGCCGGATCCCTTTCTCCATAATTTTTTCTGAAGCCATTAATCCCCTTGTCAGTGTTGTGGCTTAATTCAGATTTCAGAGTTATTTGAGAAATTGAGGAGAACAAAAGCAGAAGAGATATTTATACCTAATTTCTCTTCCGAAGTCAATTACCAGAATTAGGTATTCATGCTTCTGCCAACGTTTAAAAAACTGAAATATGTTATTCATGAACCAAAGGAAACACTATTCTGGTATTTTCATTTCTTTCTGTCCGTAATATCTAGCTTTCCGCTCTGTTTATTAGTAGAAGTTTGGTATTATATTTTGTTTACTTTAATTATTCTTCATCAAATTGTACACCTGAGAAAACTGAAGATATTGTTATTGTCTTTGATTGAAAACTGTCTTTACACGGTGGCATTAAAGAATTTTTTGGTTTTGGTTTCATACCAGTGGAATAAAGGATGATTCTTAGGTGTAAAACGGAAATTAGTTCTCTCCTATTTGTGTCACTACAGCCTTAAAGCATCCATTCTTATCATCTATATTAGTCTTTCCCTCTCACAAAACCATAGTTTCTCTCTTTCTTTTTATACATTTACAACTTTTACTTTCTATATTTCACATTTGTTTTAACCTTTTTTAATATTTTTTTTATTAAAAATTAGCAAAAACATCAATGCGATACAAAAATTCAAAATTTAATATAAATACCACTTACATTAAAGGGTTTTCTTTTTTAAAAATATCCCTACAAAATAAAAAACGAACATAAAATATGAGATCAAAAAGTATGCACAGTATTAATAAAATTCTTGTCTCGGTTTTGGTGTTGCAAGGAAAGTGACATCAATTCAATTGATGAAATTATAAAAAAAAGGTAAAATACTCTCACTCTCTTAAGTTTTACCTATAATTTCACGTGAGTCTATTGATATTTGAAATAGACAATTCGTCTTAAAAGAATATATTTCGCTAGACATAAAAAACCTGCTATTAGTCCTGCTATCAGTCTTTGTTTCTTTGTTAATTTTTAGGATAATTTTGCCTTTCTTTTAGTGTTCTTGTTGAGACTAAAACTCCCTCAAACCAAAAGCTAAAAATCCAGATTTCTTACTGAAATGCTCTAGATTTCTTGCTGATTTTTGGCAATCCACAAAAGAAGAAAGGGTAAAATACTCCCACCCCCTAGCTCTTAGACATAATTCCATGTGAGTTTATTAGTATTAGAAATGGACAATTGGTCCTAAAAGACTAAACGCCAATAACAAGAAGTGTGAAATGTTGAATTTACCTATGTGTAAATAAATATTAATCATGTGCTAATGTTTGCTAATCACTATACTCCCTTTCTCCCTTTTGGTTATCTTATTAACCGTTAAATCACTAATTGATTAAGGGATTTTTTAGCCTTTTACTCTGATTAGAAGCTTCACCCTACAACAAAATAACTCAAAATCAAACCCTCGTATCGAACCCTTTAACCCTTGACCTAAATAGAGAGAGTGAAGGGTTCATCAATCGTAAAACACTAGTATGTTTTATTTCTCTATCCAAGGTTAAGGTTTTTTGGTTTATGGATGTGTTTTTGTTGATGTGGTCCTTATATACAGGAACAAGTTTTGTCGTTTAGAGGTTTTTTTTTGCAGTTGTGGTCTTTATGAGCGAGAATAGTTTTGAGGTTTAGGGTTCTTTGTTTGTTGCTGATGTGGTGAGGGTTTGAGAATGGGTTTGGATTAAAGGTTGGGTTGTAACCCAGACCTAGAACTTTAAAGCTTTAAATTATGGAATTAGGGTTAGGGTTTTAGAAATTAAGGTTTTAGGGTTAGTTGTTTAGGTTTAGGTTCCCCTAATTTCCAAAACCTTAACTTTAATTGCTTAATTTAAGGGTTTAAGGGTTAAGGTTTTGAAATTGGGGATTTACGGTTTGCGTTTAGGTTTGGGTAACCCAAACATTATCTTTAAATGCCCAATTTTAGAACCCTAATTTTAAATCAATAAATTGAGGAGTTAAGGTTTAGGGTTCCGGAAATGAAGACTTTTACATTTGAATTTAGGGTTTTCAAATATGTTTTAATTTGGTTGAGGTTTAAGGTTACCATTCGGGTTCAACGTTATTGTTCAATATTTCAAAGTTATTAACCTATTCTAATTGGGTTTTTCAGGCTTGGACATGGTGGAGATGCTATATGACTTGGTAGTGCAACATTAGAGAGAAGTGATGACATTGAAGATGTCGATCCAGATATATTTTCCTACATAAAGTTGAAAAATGATGTCTTTGAAGTGTTGGTGGACGATTCTAATGCTAGATTTGGAATGGGTGTCTCCATTACTACACGACACCCTAAATCAAAGGAGGTTATGGAATTGAAAAGTGATGGTAATGTGTTGATGTTATTTGAAGTCTATAAAGGGATCGAGGAAATTCATTTGTACTTAAACTTGATTTTTGCTATTCCACTACAGATAATGGGATCTGATAAGCCTTTTGTTACCAAGAAAGCTAGTACATGTGCCTCTATTGGACCTTTGAATGTTGGTTTAGGTGCTGGCAGAGGTAAGATTGATGAGTCTAGTTGTACTATACTTGATGACTCTACCTCAAGCATAGATTGAAGGTGTAGTTGAAGTAGAGAGAACTTCAAGTAGAGGTGGTTTTGGTTTAGGTAAAGGTAGAGAGTTTAGGGTTAGAGGTAGAGATAGAGTTGGTGAGGGAAGAAGTGGTGAGAGCAGAGGTGGTGAAGTACTTTTTGCTACTACTGGTATTAGTCATGAAGAAAGTATTGGTAAGGAAAGTAGTGATTCAGTTGATGGAAAGATGTATCCAGTGAAGATATAGACTAGATGGGTGAGAGAGAAAGTGAGGAATCGTAAAGCAACTAGGATAGTGACGTAGTGAATGTTGAGGTTGAAGAAGATGTAGAGAATGATGTTTTTTCTAACATTGGCACTAATGTAGAGGAAGGAAACCGAGATAATGATGAATTTGATAAGGAGATTTGAGCAATAGAGAGGCTTTTTAAAGGCATACCTTATGATCTTAATGAGAATAAGAAGATTATGTTGGCAAAGAACAT